TGAAACTAATAGAAGTAATAGAAGGTGGGGAAGACCCTCGAATACCTAGGCACAGGGGAAAAGTTCCTGAACAGAACACCAATGGCTTATGCTCTAAGATCAAGACTTGACAAATGGGACCTCATAAAATTGCAAAGCTTCTGTAAGGCAAAGGACACTGTCAATAGGACAAAATGGCAACCAACATATTGGGAAAAGATCTTTACCAATCCCACATCCGATAGAGGTCTAATATCCAATATATACAAAGAACTCAAGAAATTAGACTCCAGACAACCAAATAACCCTATTAAAAAATGGGGTACAGAGCTAAACAAAGAATTCTCAACTGAGGAAACTCAAATGGCCGAGAAGCACCTAAAGAAATGTTCAGCATCCTTAGTCATCAGGGAAATGCAAATCAAAACAACACTGAGATTCCACCTCACACCAATCAGAATGACTAAGATCAAAAACTCAGGTGATAGCAGATGCTGGTGAGGATGTGGAGAAAGAGGAACACTCCTCCATTGTTGGTGGGATTGCAAGCTGGTACAACCACTCTGGAAATCAGTCTGGTGGTTCCTCAGAAAATTGGACATAGCATTACCTGAGGATCCAGCTATACCACTCCTGGGCATATACCAGAAGATGCTCCAACATATAACAAGGACACATGCTCCACTATGTTCATAGCAGCCTTATTTATAATAGCCAGGAGCTGGAAAGAACCCAGATGTCCTTCAACAGAGAAATGGATACAGAACATGTGGTACATTTACACAATGGAATATTACTCAGCTATTAAAAACAATGAATTCGAGAAATTCTTAGGCAAATGGATGGAACTAGAAAATATCATCCTTAGTGAGGTAACCCAATCACAAAAGAACACACATGATATTCACTCACTGATTATTGGATTTTAGCCCAGAAGCTTGAAATATCCAAGATTAAACTCACAGACCACATAAAGCTCATGAAGAAGGAAGACCAAGTGTGGGTGCTTTGGTCCTTCTTAGAAGGAGTAACAAAATACTCATGGGAGCAAATATGGAGACAAAGTGTAGGACAGAAACTGAAGGAGGGTCTGGAGACCATTCCACCTGGGTATCCATCCCATGTGCAGTCACCAAAGGTAGACGCTGATGTAGATGTCAGGAAGTGCATGCTGACAGGAGCCTCATAAAGCTGTCTCCTTAGAGGTCTGCAAGAGTTTGACATATTCAGAGGCCGATGCTCACAGCTAACCATTGAACTGATCATGGGGTTCCCAGTGTAAGAGTTAGAGTGAAGACTGAAGGAGTTGAAAGGGTTTGTGACCCCATGAGGAAAGCAACAATACCAACCAACCAGAGCCCCCAGGGTCTAAACCACCAGCCTGGGAGCACTTAGGGAGGGACCCATGGCTCCAGCTGTTTATGCAAGGGAAAATGGTCCTGTCGGGTATAGGTGGGAGAGAAGATCCTTGGTCCCTTGAAGGCTGGACACTGTGTGGAGGAATTTGAGGGTGGGAAGGTGGGAGTGAGGGGGTAGGTGGGGCACATCCTCATAGAAGCAGGAGGAGGGGGGATTGGATAGGGGGCTCCTGGGCGGGAGTGAGGGAAAGGGGGTAAGGGGATAACATCTGAAATGTAATTAAAATATCCAATGAAAAAATAATTTTAAAAAATTAAATTAAAAAAAAAGATGTCTGCTTTTTAGCCTTGTGTATGAGGTGGTGGCAGTAGCTTTGCCTATCTAAGCCTGTTTCCTCATTGATAAAAAGAGAAGAAAAAGTATCCCTGCTTGATACAATTGTAATGAGGTAGGTGCATTAACACATGTTCAGTCTTTGCAAATACTGGCTAGGAGATGCATATGAACAGTTTGTTTGCCTAAATGTTTTTCTTTATTCCATTAGGCTCCAAGCAAAGGCTTCCAAAAATCTCCAAGAAGTCAAAAATGATTTTGAGAATTTTCTACATAAACAAGTAGGTTTCCTCCTTCCTGGAAATAATTGAGAGTTCTCTCCCCTGCTTCTCACCTCCAGACCTCATGTTTCATAAGGAATGCATGGTCACACTCAAGCTGCAGTAGCAGAAAGGACACATTCTTATCAGCAGCTGTCCACTGCAGAAGGGAGATCATCCACTCTCAAGGCCAGTCATGAGCTATGCCCACTGTCCCCATGAATTGCTTCTAAAATAGTACCTGAGACCATTTCTGCCACTAAGATCCCATCAAGTGCAATTGGATTAGAAACTAGAGGAAATTATTGGTGCTTAATGTTGTATTTTATTTTTTATTAATAATTCACAAAAGCTACATGAAAAGAACATCTATGTGAAAAGAACATCTCTCACCCTCAACTCACCCAAACACAATGAAGACTGTGACAAGACTCCAAACAGAGCTCAGATTGAAGGAGGAAGGAGGGGTGGGAGCATTTCTGCCCATTTCCCCTGGATTTTTTCTGCTTTTCCAAGCCTTCTGAACAGCCCTGTTAAATCTGAAGGATTATGCTTTCCAAAAGGGGAAGGGGAAGACACCAGCATACAGGAAATTAGCAGGGTATACTACCTGAGACCAAGGATAGAGATATCCAGTATGAGAGATTTCCCCTCTGCAGTCCAGACTCCGGAGCAATCCCACTGGGTACCAGTCTAATACCAAAAAATGAGGCGAGTAAGATTCTTGCACAGAAAGGTGCTAGAAAGTCATGAAACACTTGAGTGTTTCTCTTAGTCACATAGGATCATTGTCCTTTTATTTTTTGAAGCATTATTCCTTGTTCCTAATTTTTTGAAGTATTTCCTACTACTGAATAGTGCCATGAGCTCTTATCACATGTAACCGCAGCAGCAGCACATTTTGCAGAGGGAGCGCCTCACCATGCGACACTACAGTTGTTCTTTCACCCTCCTTCCTTGTTCCCTGCGGGAATCAGTCTTCTCTCAGGCTTCCATCAGTAATTCAGACTCATGTACAAAATCTCCAGACTTAGAGCCCACATTTTCAAGTGCTAATGAGCCAAACAATACATTTGCAGACCAGATGTGGCCTGTTTTCCTAATCTGAATGCTGCCTGATCCAGCCAGTGCAGCTGACAAGATTCCTCAACGCATTTTAAAGCAAACCCTGTAGTCCCACAGAGCCCTCCACAGGCTATACTCAGCTTTGCTGGTCTACACTGTCTACTCTAGCTTTCAGAGTCTAGCCAGCCTTTCCAAGTCCAGTTATTTATGAAGCGATGCCCTTGGTCCCACCCCTACTCTTCTCAGAAGATCTGGGTATGTCTCACAACTTCTAGAACACAAGGTACTGAAGGCAGGTTTGAAACAATCTTAACAAACAGGGAGCCAAACTAGAGTAGAATAGTTTCAGTAGAGTCTGTACCTCACCAAAGACAAAACACCTAGAAGGACTAGGTTCTCTATAGAGGCGTACATACTGAACACTTTGAATGACTGTGTCCTCATAGAGGTGTGCACTGTGAACATCTAGAAAGACTGAGGTATTCACACTGAATATTAGAATTACTAAACATTTTTATCATCTTCCTATGAAGGAATTTCATGGTGAAAATCATCAAATGGACTAACAGAGCAGTGACACATGATCTAAGTCATCGTCTGCTTCTGCTTCTGCTTCTGCTTCTGCTTCCATTTCCGCTTCTGCTTCCACTTCCTCTTCCTCTTCTTCTTAAGAATTCTAACCAACCACAAATTAGTCGTGGGGAATACAGGCCATTAAAAAATATGCAGGATCATAAAGTTAAATAAATTCAGATCTTAGATTACTGTGCTTAAGAAAACTCAAAAAACTTTTTTAACTAATTTGATACAATGTTGCTCAGGTATTTAGAAGGAAATGTGTCAGGAGTTAGTTTTAGGATGGATCTTGGTTTCCCAGGGACTTGTCCTTTAAGAAATACTATTGTGTGCCTATGCCTTTTGGAAACAGGCAGATGAAGAAACTTAGCCTCTGAATGCCTCTTAATGGGACGACACAGTCATAAGAAACAAAAGCCGTGGTGATTCCCAACCACAATACAAGCTACCTCTGTCACCTGAGTCTTTTAGTAAAACCCTCTTTCATCTCCCTATCCTGCCATGCAACTTAGAAAGGGCTTCTGGAAGTCTGGCATTGGCCTGTCACCACATGACCAGACACTTGTGCCCTTACTCCATCACTGACAGTTCACACTTCAGGCTTCTGATTAGTCACTCAAACCTGTATACTGCACATCTGCCCTACAGAGGACTAAGTTACACAAACAAGCCTTGCCAGGCAGCCACAAGAGGGATGTGAGGTATGGGTGGGGTTGTCAGGTGGAATGGCATTGGACATGTAGTGCTAGTAGGAAAAAAGTCAATTCAAAATTGTCTTCTGAAATCTATCTTTTGGCTCCTCCTCCCAAAGTGATCTTCACCATCTTCAGAGATGTAGAAATCTGACATTCAAGTATACTGTGAGTGTCTAATATTTGCAAACCCTTAACCCTGCACTTTGTTCCTAGCGTGTTGAGGCTAAACTCAAGGAGGAATATGGAGGATCAACATCACCATCAGAGTCGCCACAGTCACCGCAGTCACCATATTCATCGTTGTCATTACCTACCATATCAGAAGACTTCAACGATTATGGAAGAGGGCTAAGGGAAGCCAGCAGTGACCGCCCTTCAAGAACAATACACAGTTCAGCTGTATCAGTTTAATTGGAGTGGAGTGTTCAATTAAAAGTACATTTTGCTGTTCATCTTTAAAATCTTCACATCAATAAATCTTAATCATACTTCAAAGATCTATCTAACAATATCCTTGGCTCTGATTCATAAAAATACATGTAAGAAGGAAAAGTAGTCATTATGAAGCCTAGCTTTCACCATTTCTTTGGAAATGCATCTTGATAATAACAACTGTACCTCACAACACAAAATAGAAAAGGAACTGATTTACTGTGGCACAGGAAGTCCCACCAGCTCTTGAATGCCCAAAATAGTTTTTCTGGGATGTTGAACATCATTTAGGCTTCAAGGAAAACCAAAGCCCCGCCTCCAGGCTTGGTAGCAAATAAGCTATGCTTCTCCCGAGCTAGGCGGGACGTGTTCCCCTGGTAATAAGCTTCATGCACGCTTGCGAGAAAGCTGGAGAGTATGTCAGTGGGCACGAGGGATACAGTGCAGCCTCCCCATCCTGCTCCAGTAAGTCGTGAGCCTTTGGCCCCAAACTTCCTAAAACAATGAGAAAACAAAGCATTATCACCAATAAGCAAAAATAATAGCAACTTACTTGATACAGAACACACCCTCTTCCCAGGTCCTATGAAGAGAATATTGGGGTAGGGGTATTCAGGAATTTCAAGCTTTAAGAAATATATATTGGGGTCTCAGGAGATAGCTCAGAAAGTAGTGTCTTCCACTCAAGCAGACACATAAAAGTTGGGTACTGTAGCCCATGTCTGCAACCCTAGCATTGGTGAGAAGAAATAGAGACAGGCATGTCCCTGAAGCTCAGTAGTCAGCCAGTCTAGAAGAATTATGAGCTCTGTTCAGTAAAGACTCTATCTCAAAATGTAAGGTGGGGAAATATAATTTTAAAAACATTTAAGATGGAGAGCTATGGATAAAGACAACCTTTTGTCTCTATACACATGTACACATACATGGATGTGTACTCTCACACATGTGTAGACACCACACACACAAGAAATCTAAATTGAATATAATTTACAAGTTTTTTTTCCAGCACTCAGGACTGAGAACCTTTTTGGTGATATCTGAAGTTACTCATTGCTATTGAAGGCAAATAATAACTATCAACAGTGCCTACTTTACAGACCTAGAACCACCCACTGTAGGCTTGATCTCAAATAGCCATACAGTAACCACTTGAAAGTTGCATAGCAAGGCTCCAGTTAATCAGGAATGGAAGTGAGAAGATGGACAGTGGACATAGTGACACAGGGAATCAGAAGGTCACCTCTAAAGAGGGTAAATTAAAATCACTGTTACAGTGTTGGACACTAGAAATCCTGATAGCTCTTTCAACTGCATTCTCTTTATTGATGACAGTGGAAAGTTATGCATGTGTACATGTTTCTGTTAGTGCAGATGTACAGGTATGCACATGGACAGGTAGAGTCCAGAGGTCAACATCTGGTACCTCCTTCCACTGTTCTCTATTTCATTTTTGAAGGCAGGATCTCTCACTAAACATGAAGCTCACTGATTCTTCAAGGACAGCTGGCCAAAAAGCCCCAGAGAGTCTTCTTTCTTCATTCAACAATGTTAAGAGTACAGGTGTTGGTTGCTTCTAACTGGCTTTTTCTGTGGGTACTAAGAATACCAACCCAGGTCCCATGACTGCACAGCAAGCACTTTATTGACAGAGCCACCTCCAGATCACTCTCAGTTGTATTCATAAAGCTTATCCATTCTTACACACTGACATCAGACGAGGGCTAAGGGCGGGGCATGCACCTCAATGGTAGAAAGTTTGCCTAGTATGTATGAGGTCTGGGTTCAATACCTAACACCACAGTGAGAGAAAAAAAAAAGAACCAGTTCCTCAGAACTGACAACCTAGGTTTATTCTGCATACATTTATTAGCATAGAGCCTATTAGTAAACTCTAAGTTGGCTAGTTGGTTGGCTTGCATAATGACTAATGAAAAATTATGCAAACCTCCCACAAAATGGATGGCGAGTCTAACCGTGTATACCATCTTCCCTGAACTTTCTGGGATTAAGCTAACAAGAAGACCCACCTTTGCCAGTAAATTAAATGCTCACTGAGAGGGAAGCATTTCATCTCTAAACCTCCATGTAGCCAGAAATTGTAGTCACTATTAACCAACCATAGTCTCAAACCTTAGAACTGACCTAGTGCAAAAACCTTAAACAAAACTGAAGGATCAGTTCTCTTTCAAATATGTAATTTACTCAAAAACATTTCCAATTATTTTTTCTAATGAAATTTACTCCAAATTAGTAATAGATTTAAAACTTCATAATTAATTTAGCCCAATTTTGTCTCTCCTTTCCCTCCACTTCCTGGAAAACATCAATAGAATGAACAGACCATTACCCTTCTCCAGGAAGTTGGGATTACTACACATTAGCTACTCACTTTTCCCTTGGTGATGCTCTCCAGTGAATGAATCATTTGTTTTATTCAAATACATTTTTCCTAAATGTGAAAAACGTGCTTACAACCATAAAAGGTTACCAATCTTCTGATGACCCTCAAATAGCAGCTTCTAGCTGAATTCAGCCCAAACTCCCATCATCCAGGCTGAAAAGCTGCTTTAATTATGAGATTCTTGAATGGTCTTTACTTCCTAAGCTAGAAAAGGGCCTGTTTGTAGTTTGTTGATTTAAAGAAGAAACTTGGTCATAGGAGGTCACATCAAACACTACCATAGCTGAAGAAGGCAGAAGAAATGGAAGGTTCCTTGAAGTATCTCAGAATAATCCTTAAAGCCAACCGCAGTCTGCTCTAGGTGAGAGCGTGCCCACTTGATGCTCTGTGAGCAAAATTCACCAGGTCTTTAACTCCTTTCCATGGGCCTTTTCGGGATATTTTCATACACTTCTCTCTTGAATAGTTTGAATAGAGTGGTGGGGCACACGTGGGAAGCAAAAGATGGATGATTACAGTGAGTTTGAGGCCAACTTGTTCCAGGACAGACAGGAAGACATAGTGAGAGCCTGTCTTAGAGCATTTTTAAAAAGAAAGAAATGATCAAAAGAGAGCTGTTTCTGATCTAGCTGGAAGAGATCCATTTTTCCAAACCTTCTGTCAGACTTAGTATTCATACTAAGCAGAGGCTAAGAGACCTCTGGGCAAATTAATCTGCTTCTGCATCTTCAGTCTTCCCTGTGGCCACCCTGCCTGATGCAGAATGGGCTCCATTCTATCCCTCCAAGCTCCAAAATCATCAGAGATCAAGATTTTCATCTTTTCCTTTTTGTAAATTTTTGTTGTTGATACTGTTTTAAACAGAGTGAAGATCCATGGAGTTGAGTGGGTAGGGATGAAGGAAGAATTGAGGGAGAGCTGGGAGACAGGAAATAATATGATCAAAATGTACCATATAAAAAGTTTAAAAAGAAAAAAGAAATGCTATAATGCAGCCTTCTGTCCACAGTCAACAGCATTGTTGTTCACAAACCAAAGTAATTGTATCGAGAATCAGCAGACTACCTTATTCAGCTACACACACACACACACACACACACACACACACACACACACAGAAGCACACACGCAGACGCACACGCGCGCACACACACTGAGAAAAAGAGAGACAGAGGGAAAGAGAGAGGCAGAGAAGTCTTAACAGCAATGTTTTTTCAGTGGCTCTTAAAATGCCCTTTGCATGTCTCTGAAACTACAAGTAAGGTCTAAAGTTGGGAGATCAACAAAGGTGTTAAATCAAGAAGAAAATATAGATGAGCCAAGGCTGTTTAATAAACTTTTTTACGTTTGAAGTTCTGAGAAACTAATAAAATTTAAAAATACATCTCCTTCACTACACCAGGTCAGAATAGAAACAGGACCATTGCAAGAAACAACCCTGTGGTGTGTGAAATCTCCTACAGGCCACTGTGATGAGGAGGAGAATGGTATAAAAAGGGATTGTCAGTGCAATGACTTCACACAGCAAAGGCCTGGGAGGAAACCAGACCTTACTGCTGGCCTATTACATCTACTCCAATGCCCTGTCTTCAGTGAACAGGGCTGATTATAAAGCTCTGAACGGGGTGTAAGGCATTGTGGGGGGCAGTAGGTGGAGGGACAAAAAGACCCCACTGCTACAGACTTGAAAGGGAGAAAATTATGCCTTGCATTTCAAATTAGAGAAGTATTTACATTTTATACAAATAGAGGTCACATCCATCCTGCAGCCCAGGGTAAGCCCAGCTCTAGTGTTGTGGTAGGCTGTCATGAAACCGCAAGGAATCCTAGCTTCTTCTCTTTGGAAACTGGCAATTATCTCAGGAAAACAAACCTTCCAGCATAATTTCTGCAAGTTTTTATAGTTAGACTACAGACATTTTTTCAGATTGCTTTGGAGTCAAGAAACTGCAGTCTTCCAAAGCTGCAGATAGAAGAAGGAATGAGAAAACATGTCGGTAGATTAGTTTCAGAACATGGGGCATCAAAGGCCATTAAGAAGCAGTTCTTTTGAGGACAAATTGACTGTATAGCATATCAGTGTCTCTAAAATTCCTTCCCAGGAGGAGATAGGGCAGCATGCCCCACCCCTTCCAAAGTTCCCAACAACGAAAGGAGGTTTGGTTTCCCAGTGTTCACTGGGTGGGGTAATCGATGACTTTATTTGGCTTCTTAATATAGCAGGTAAGGGATTACTTACAGAGGTGTGTGTGCTCAAGCGTTCAAAAGACTTCACCTAAAAAGCCTTTCCTCAGCATTGATGAGGGCTTTCCCTTTGCCTTATGGAAAGCCACCCTCTAGTCTTCCCATGCCTTTATAATCTAGCCTTTCCCAGGGACCAAGCACACTTAGGGCAGAGCTGGATCTGGCTGGATACTCAGTGGGGGTTTGTGACCCTCCATCCCCTCCACTGGGGGCTATAAACAGTCAACCAGCCCAACTAAAATGATCTTGCAAGCTATCACAGGCAAATGCCTCAAGATGGCTGTAGCTTGCCTCAGAGTGTGGTCAGTCACTTACAACACCCTAGAGGTAAAAGATATTTGCCTAAAGAGGGATGATTCTCCAGAACAGGTAGAACAGAACTCTCCCCTTCCATGGCAGGGCATGGAGGTCAGCATGTGCCCCAGTGAAAGACCACACATCTATGACTGACTTATCGAGGAGGGGCTCAGGAGGCTGAGCAGCCCAGCTGTGGGATCAGGGCTGAGGGAAGACTTCTGAGGGGAGTGGAGCAAAAGAATGTCTGCACCCACTCTCATCCTGAGAATCCAACATTTGTCTTCCTTAATATCTTGGGCAATAACAGCAATAATACAGGGAGGAAACCTTTCTAATTTCAACAAGTGGCCAAACAGAAACAAAAAGCACTAGTTTTTTTCCCCCCTTCAAGGAACCAATAACAAATGAGCTGTCCTACATGACTTGGCTTCTGTGTTCCTCAGGAAATTCTACATTAAAATTTAAATTTACAGTTTGTTCATTTAAAATAGACATTTTATAGTTGGGCAAAGACTGCCTTCTTCCTTCATTATTTCATCTCATCTAATAAAAATTCTAACATTAACTTAATTTAAAAATTGACCTAACTATATAAGTGTAATTTCCTTCTGGTTTTCTTTTCTTTTTTGACAGAGTCTCATCCTGTGGCTCCTGGCTGGGCAGGAGGGCCTCTTCTGTAGCTAAAGTTGGCCTCCACCTCCCAGTAGTTTTCATGCCTGAGCCTCATGGGCACACACACTCAGCCCTTGGGCCTTCTTTTCTGTTTAAACTGATGTCCCTGATATCATCTCCAGGACACAAAGATGCTGCATGTCCTGGGAGGGCCCTGAGAATGCCAGGCATGGGCCATGTTGGCAGAGTTCTGTTTTGTTTAATAAAACAGCAGCTCAGACTTCCCTGCTACAGAGAAGATAAAGTGTACTGAGAAACTGGGCAGCCTGGGCTGTTGGTCGGCTTGGGAGACCAGATGAGGGAAGTAGAAACGGGTTCAGGGAGTATTGTCAATGACGTTTTTGCCACCATTACCTTTGGCTACCTGGTAGCACTTTAAAATTTCTATGTATTTGAGGAAACTTTTTGGAAAGTATTTGTATGAACAGATAGGTAGTTGAGTATGGGAATGCAGCTTTAGTGGCTATGTTATCACCACAGACCCCCACACACTGCAGGTTTGTGTGACCTGAGCTGGACCATATTTCCAAAGTGGTCCTCGAAGTCAGTCAGTGAGACAGTGAGAGGACATTTCATTTTTGTCCTGCTCATCAAGAGAAAAACCTGTTCAGAACACAAAAGAAGGCCCAAGGGCTGAGTGTGTGTGCCCGTGAGGCTCAGGCATGAAAACTACTGGGAGGTGGAGGCCAATTGTAGCTACAGAAGAGGCCCTCCTGTCCAGCCAGGAGCCACAGGATAAGAACCTGTCAAAAAAGAAAAGAAAACCACAAGGAAATTACACTTACGTAGTTAGGTCGATTTTTTATATGAAGCCACGGTGCTCTCCAGACCTCCTGAGCTCACTGCTCACTGCTCTTCTGCTCCAGGGGTTTGGTTGGATGTTTTTTGTTTGTTTGTTTGTTTTGTGTTTTTGTTCTTTATTTTATCCCTGGTTCCTCTGGATGTCTTCAGCACCTCTTTCCTGCACTATCACTTCCCAGACAAAAAGACAGTACCTTGGCTTCTATGTGAGGTTTGGGCTGACTATGGGCAGGGAAGGAGGCAGCAACAGTGGTGTCCTGACCCCTACAGCTGTCCTCCCTGGGCCCTGACCTAAGGAGAGTCTCACAGTAACAATGGGACTCTGTATGGCCTATGGAGAACTCTGACCTTGAATTGGAAAAGATGGCTGCCCTCCTCCCAAAATAATAATTTTAGAAAAAGAAAACAGGAAACATTTCTCAGTCAAAAAAACACCAGCAGTCCTCTTGGTTCCTTCCTCTCCTTCTCCCACAGAGCAATGGTCACAATGGTCTAGAACCTCCCTTCAAACATATCTAGGACAGAATCAACCATCACATCCATTGCCCCTTTCTCTTCTGGAAGCCAGAATCCTGCCCAAAGCTGACAGGGTGCGTGCAGTGTGAATCCTGCCCACAGCTGATGGGGTGCATGCAGTGTGAATCCTGTCCACAGTTGATGGGGTCAATGTACAGTGTCATATCCACAACCTCTCAGACTTCACCTGTCCTCTCTCCTTCCTTCCCTGCTGTGCCTCGCACATAACAGCCTGTTTGCTTGTTCCTTCAGGTCTTCTGTTTCAGTGTCGCTTCCTTAGAGAAGCCTTCTCCAACCACTCCATTTAAAGACTCTCCCTTCAAGCCCAGCAGTCACTATCCCTCTTCCCAGTTTCCATCTGCAACATTTATCACAAGCAATCAAATTATTGTTTTAATCATCATTAAGCTCTTTGCCCACAGAAATGTAAACTTTTGCTGGTGATCATCCGAGGAGAAGAAAGCACACTGGAAAATTCCAGGAGGCTGGCGGAGCCCATCCATACTGTTTCTGGGAGGATTCAAATTCCCATCCCCCTTCCAAGCCATGACAACTGATTCCTCATTTCTACACAAATCACTCCACTTCCTCTTATATCCAAAACTGAACAGTATTTGTCTCTTCCATTTACTGGGCCCTTGATGCTTTTTTTATTTAAAATAAAACGAGCTCTGGAAGGGGTTTTGGCAATTAGTGAGCAAATGCTGACGTGCCTCAGCCACGGGCCATGCAGGTTCCACATGCCATTTGTGATCCACTCTAGCTGCTGGGTTTAAACTTTCTGAATGGGTGTGGCATGAGCCTGGCAAGCCACAGGCGCCAAATGGCTAATTACATTTCCATTGCTAGTTGCGTGCAGGACTGTGTCATCGTCAGAGTGAGCTAACACAGGTCATCTGATTCCCCTCCAATTTCCCTTTCAGTTCTCCAAGGTCAGCATGGGACCTCCCTGGGAAGGACTCTATTATCCCATTGTTGCACAATTACAGGGAGGTCTGGAGAGTTTGTGAAAGAGGCTCTCTCTTTACACTTCTGTCATAGCCAAGTTTATAGAGTGGCCTTTCTCTGGTCTTTATTTCCCCTAATTGCCCAAAATAAATATGGCAACTCAAGAGGGGCTTTCCAAGTGATTCTTCCAGCCCACCTCCTTCAGCAGAACTCTCAAGCTCAAGACCCTCTTTTAACTCTCTTCTAGACAGAACTCCATTAGGTTCCTAGGGGGGTTTGAAATATATAAAATGCCTATGTCAGAGAACAGCTGCCTTCCTGAGAGGTCTAATCAGCTAGCAATGAAACTGGTTCCAGATTAACTTCTGAGCCCCAGAAATCCAGGTCTCAAACCACCCTGCAGACACACAGGAAGAACATGGGGGCTCTACATCATGAGGACTGGAGTACCTCAGAGAGGAAGGATTCATCTAAATTATGAGGATACAGCTTTTTGTTCACTGAAATAGCATTCCCTGGTGGCACATTCTGGCTCCCACATGGCCCTCTCAGCTCACCGGCAGATGTCCACTAGCTGGTCCAACTCAGGGCAGCTGCACTCATACATGTCCCGGCAGCTTCGGTGGCTCTGGTTCATTAGCTCACCCAGCAGCTGGACTGCATTGTCTGGTGCTTCTTCGCACACCTGCTTAAACTGCAGCACGCGTGCAGCCTCACTGTACACGTGTTTGGCCCGCTGGTAGAGCTTGAAGGTGAGTTCTGAAGAAGGAGAAACCCGGGGAAAGAGATAAGAAAGGGTTACAGGACTATACAGTACTGAAAAAGACTCTGTGTGTGTGTGTGTGTGTGTGTGTGTGTGTGTATAAATGAGATGTAGCCCAGGCTAGCCGACTCAACATTCTCCTACTTCAGAGGTGTCCCAGTGCTGGGACTGCAGATCTCAGCCTACCTAATCTTCTAACATACAATTTTAATGGCTTCCATTTCTGTATTCACTGTCAGTACCTGGGATTTTCAGAAGGTCTCTATTTCACTAAGTTTGTCACTGATTTAAAAAAAAAAAAAAAACAAAAACAAAAAAACAACAGCCGGGCGGTGGTGGCACACACCTTTAATCCCAGCACTTGGGAGGCAGAGGCAGGCGGATTTCTGAGTTTGAGGCCAGCCTGGTCTACAGAGTGAGTTCCAGGACAGCCAAGGCTACACAGAGAAACCTTCATGACTCTCTGAGTGTGGAAGGAGCAACTGTTGGCGCTTCTGCCCTGATTTTACAAGAACTCTGAAAAATTGGCTTTAAAAACAAAAGAGGGGGAACGGTACCCCCTCAGAAGGAGTCCCCCTGAAATACTCTCCATCATGCCTTGTTCACTTTTCTCTCTCTAAAGCTGAAAGCTCATGGCAAATCTCTTGCTGACCATGTTGGTGACCTCGGGCACCACCAAGACCAACAAAACTTTGCCACAGATATGGGGAAGGACCCTCATACCCATAAAGGGAATGCCCCAGTCCCAGTTCCCTTATGGAGCCGAGGACTGATATGCCTGCCCAATACCACAGAAGGCACAGCTAACCGGCTACCACAAATATTAATGAAAAATTAGATACCCTCACAAAGCCAGGCCCAATCATAAATACGATGAATAACAATTTACATCCAGGGAAGAGAAATCTCCCTGAGAATCCCCTTCTTTTTTCTTTCCAGGTAAAATTGAATCACCCGTGATGCCTGCTATTAGAAGTTCTAACCCAGATGGACCAGAAGCCAGGAGCCTCACCCTTACCCTCACCCCCTACCTTTTCCCACCTGCACAAGGTCCCCTGAAGCTGGGCAACTGCAAGATCCTGCTTGGCAACTGCAGATAGACTCAAAGCAGTGTACCATATCATCTGAAGAATAGCAGGGAGACCATAACTCAAGCAGTGTACCATATCTTCTGAAGAATAGCAGGTTGCAGTCCTCCTCGCCCCCACGAATAACCAGGACCCGCCGGTCGGGTCAAGTGGCACCCAGACGTGGGGCTCGAGGCACGGACCCATCCGGACGGACCCTCATTGAGAGGATGTGCGCACGAGACAGAGATCATCGCCCGTGACCTGTCGTCCACGGAACCAGGTTGATGCTGCCATCAAGAAGGCAGTTGAAGTTCATTACCATCAGCTGAAAATTGCAGAGGATCCAGAAGTGACTCCGCAGGAGACTGACACAGCTGTCAGCTCCCCTGCCTCCCCCTACGGTCGACCCCTAGACTTCCATGCCCTCCAGAAGGGTTCCTGGTATGCCTGGCTTTGCCCTCATTTCTCTCGCTAGAGAGCTTGGCCTCTTGATCACCACAACAAAAATTGGCTTTTTCCTAAACCAAGGCCACCCTTGATATGGCCGCTAACATTGGGGAGCCTTCCTTTATGACAATATTACACCCCAAACTGACAAATGGTTGGTAACTTGAACATTTACAAGAGACTAGGATGGCTGTGAGTTAGACCAATGACGGGATTATTGTAGGTCCACTTCCCAGGGGCCCACCCAATGCAGCCGAAAAGGAGTGCGTGGTGCTGGGAGTGGGTGCAGCCTTCATGGCCTAAGACAGGGCTCTCACCCTCCTTTCACCCACATCAGAGTCCCTTGACGTTGCCCATCGTCGACAGCCTAAAGCCTTCGACCATCGATGTGACTCGTCTCACATCAGTGTTTTGGGGTTGTGAACTTGTCTAAGACCCCCCATAATTAGACATCCAAATTCAAAACTCACATAGTTGGGATTGAACATAAGACGCCTTCTCTAACTAAACAGAGAAGGGGGAGATGCCAGAAGCCAGGACCCTCGCCCTTACCCTCACCCCCTACCTTTCCCCACCTGCACAATGTCCTCTGAAGCTTGGCAACTGCAAGATCCTGCTTAGCAACTGCAGATAGACTCAAAGCAGAGTACCATGTCTTCTTAAGAATAGCAGGGAGACCATAACTCAAGCAGTGTACCATATCTTCTGAAGAATAGCAGGTAGATCATAATTCAAGGCAGTGTACCGTATAGACCATGACATGTTTCAAGGCACAGGCCAAGAAGATTTTGTACTTTTCCACCACCTGGCCCCTCTTACCCCCTCCCCTTGTAAAACATGCTATAAAAAAGCATTTCATGTTCAAAAAAAATAAAATAAAATAAAATAAAATAAATAAATAAAAAACAAAAAACAAAAAACAAAAAAACAACAGCCGGGCGGTGGTGGCACACACCTTTAATCCCAGCACTTGGGAGGCAGAGGCAGGCGGATTTCTGAGTTTGAGGCCAGCCTGGTCTACAGAGTGAGTTCCAGGACAGCCAAGGCTACACAGAGAAACCCTGACTCGAAACAAACAAACAAACAAAAAACAAAATCCACTGGTAAATCAGTTTCACTTCTTCCTGAATACTGATCTAAGATCTTCCTCTTTCACTCAGCGTACCCAGAAAACACACACACACACACACTGAACTTTACATGGCAAGGGAGAGGCGGCAGTATGGAGCATGTCCTACATGTCATCTGCCTTAAGGGCACAACCTCAATCATTTACAGCAGCTTGGAGAGGTGAGCAGAACCATTAACAGATCTCCAGAAGATGTACAGTCAGGAATGATGTTTACAGAAAGGTATCCCAGTACACAAGCAGACTTGTCGGGAGGAGGGCATTGTCAGGAGGAGATGAGAGACCAAACTTAAAGTAAAATTATGAAAATTCATTATATACATGTGCAGGATTGTCAAATAGTTCTAGAGAAATAGATAAACACAACTACTTACATGTGTATGTAATTTTATTTACATTTAATATACTGTTATATGTTACAGTATTATTTATCGTAGTCAAAAATATAAACACTCCAAATAACAAATAACAGAGAACCTTCTGAGAAAAATAAATTTTACATTCATTTTTTTAAAAAAAAAATTATGGCTATTAAAACTCAAATACTTGGGCAATCTGGTACACAGGAAACTGCTCAACCTTGAGGGAAATGACAACACAATAACTTGTATATAACTGGCACTAACTGTGGTACACACATGCATATGTATGTGCATGGTAGCCTACAGAAAGAGAAAGCTCCACATGTCAACAGTGAGTCTTACCTCTGAGGCCCATCACAGACAGATTTATTATCCTCTTGGAACAGCTCCGATTCTGCAATGCCCTGAATGACTGTCAGCTGTAGCAACACAAACCTGTCTAACTGCATTGGCTGCATCACATTTGGCTCATTCCTGGGTAGCAATGGAGGCCTTCCTGAGGCCATGAAACACTCTGACAAGTGTGGGAGTTGGTGTGGTGGGTCTCAGGTGAGACAGGGAAACTTATTTATGCCCTTTGGCCACTAAGGAAAGAGCCAGGGATGTGAGTGCGGGGGTCCATCAGCTGTGACAACCAGCTGGACCCCAATTTGCTACCTCTGTGGGCTCTATTTTCTAGTCTCTGGAATGAGATTTACTTCTCAGGAGCATCTGGCTTTGTTCTTTGATAACTGGGAGAGAAACTTCCTCTCTGTGTGACCTTTCCATGTCCCTGTAGGCTGCCCCCACGGTAGTAAGGACTTCTGTGACTGCTTCTGTCTGCACCCTGAGTTCCACACTCAGCCCCACAGGCTGACCAGTAGGGATCACAAAAGGGGGTTCCTTGCTGTTTTCAAGCCAAAGGATGGGAGAAAATCATCAACAAATGAAAGGGAAGAGAGGAAGCACAAAGATTTATTTCTTGGCTGCTACATAAATCTTTGTCTTGGTCATGCCTTTCTTTAACCTGCATTTGAGTCAACACTGACAGGCTAAGCTCCCCCACACAGGGTGCTCATGTCAGTTACCCCTCAGTCCACAGCCATTTTCCCACTGTTTACCATGGTCCATGCTCAGTCCCAGCGGGACCTCTTCCTTCAGCCAAACTGCTCCATCTGTAGTTGCTCCAACAGTCTTTGCTTCTGGATATACTCATTCGTCACACACAGAAACTGCTTCTTGCCCTCTCTCTCTATGTCAAAACTTTACCTCATTCTGAAGGCTCAGATTACGTTTTACATCATCCTTGGGGCCATGAGGGGCTCAGCTGGAAATAATTTCTTGGCTGAATTTGTACCATGCTTGCAGTCCATGCTCTCATTGTGGTTAATTCTCAGAGCTCTGCAAAGGTTTCTCAGAGTCCTGAAGTCAGACCTTGAATGCACCCCCCAAAACAATGCTCACTCCATATCACCCCAACTGTGCCTTTCATGACAGAGTTCAGTGGTACTTAGGGTTAATTATGATAAAATTGGGATTTTTACTTTTAACCCCAGTTCAAAATCAAACTACTTTCATCTGGACTTGCTGTTTTGTTTAAGAAGAGAAGGAAGGAAAGAAGCTACCATGACCATTTAAGTGAGTATTGAGAGACAGGAAAGGGGACAGGCAGCAGGGTTCCCTTTATTACTAAATCTGTAAATGCTGACACCTAGTGTGGTTGAAAATAATAAATAAATAAATAAATAAATAAATAAATAAATAAAAGTCACTGGTTAAATATAAGTGGGGAGACACAAAACATGTTTTGTTCTGTTGGTAGCCAGGTCATGTGAGTCGCCCACACTATGCTATCAATTTGCTGTCTCTACAGTCAGCTCCACAGAAATAGGAAATGGTTTATTCTAGGACAGTGTCAAAATATCCCAAGGAGTCAGGGAAATCTTTATCAACAAAACACTGGCAGATAGCCTCTCCAGAACCACATCATTTGAAGAAACAGCATGGGG